CAAGTTCAAAACAGAAAATTAATTCTTTTCCCAGCCCTAATTATGACTACCCTCCCCAAACAATAACCCCCCCAACATTATTCTGAATATGTTTCTGTCGTCTTTATGCTTGCAATTTTAATATAATTATTAGTAGGAATATGAATTCAAAAGTTTATTCATATGAGAACTGTGTTTTCATGGTCCTCAAAATGACCTGAAGGGTTTTTGTCAGAAAATTGGTAAAAAACCTCACTACAGGTCTAGTTATGTATTCATACACAATAGTACTTTACAGCATCAATGGGGTTATTACACAGGATTGTACTACACTTCAAGTAATTTAGTAAGATTTTTCTTCTCTTCTTGTACCCTCTGATGTTTAAATGTAAATCAAAACCAAAATTGAGTGTCTTGTCTACTATAACGTGTTTTAGCTTAATTGTACAAAACAGTGATTTGCAGAACTGATCTTCTAACACTTGACGTTACTTATGCAAAAATAGAAAATCTATCACATGAAGATGTGGCAATGTTCCTGTTTACAGGAAGACTAATTAATGGTTTCCTAGTTAGCCATCCTAAAAGACCAAGAGTGTTACTGGTACCAATCTATCTTGTCTAGGACTAGCTCAAGTCCCTGTGTGGTGGGATATTCCCACCCTGACCAGACCCAAGATCCAATCAAGCTATTAATCAAGCTAGCATGCAAGATCAACTGCTGGAGCCAGGGTGTTGTCTTGGTGTTAACTATGCTAAAAACATCCTGGTTCATCAAACTTTGAATACTCACCCTGCTTTTTGAAGTCTGATTTGACATATAAGCTGATAGCTGGCCTGTAAAGGTGTGACTAGCAGTCAATCACTTTATACTATAAAAAGTCCAGTCTCCTCTCATGCAGTCAGGTTCTTCGACACAACCCTTCTTGGGGTGTCTGTGTGGAGATTCCTCCCTTGGCTGGGGATGCCCCCAAGGTTACTTCTTGAGTTTGAGAGAAAGAGATCTCCCCATGAGCACTGGTATGGGTGAGTTACATCAGATCTCTATTTAATAATTATTTCTTTCTGCTAGCTTTAATATAACTGCTTCAATAATTGCTTTGTTACAGTGCACTATACTACTTTATGCTATATTATACTCTACTAGTAGATTTGCAGTGTTTATATTGTTTTAATGTTTATGTTGTGTAGTAAATAGTTCGATTAAGGTTTTTGTCTGATCATTTGTATAAAATAAATATTCATTTTATATAAATATTCTCATTTTACCATCATTAAAATCTGTGGGACAGAGTGTTTAATACCTCTATAATTCCCGTAAATTTAAACTTTTAACACAGTCTGAGGCTAAGATAGGATTCAGCTGCACCTAAACCCTTCCCTGAGAAGGAGTTTAGAAAGCAAGGGAGTCCTTCCTGCACCTCAAGACGGAGACAAGGCTTTGCTTTTTAAAACTTTGTCTAAGCCTTCCATTCTCCTGTATCACTGTGTTGTGCTAATTAACTAGATCCATACTGTATTATTCCATGATTAAACTATTCGGTTGGATATTCTGTTTCATCAGCCATAATGGATTACAGGTTATGAGCAGGTGGAATTTCTTTTACCAGACTTCAGTTTCCAGGGCTCAATTCATGAATTTCTATTTTTAAAAATTTGACCCCAAGCCATAAAGAGAAATACAGGAAATTCGATCAGATCTCCAGTAATAGAATAATCCTGGTGGGCAGTTAAGCACCACACAATCACTCACTAAGTCTCCTTCCCGATGAAAAGGGGGAATGAATTGGAAGAGTAAAAGTGAGAAAACTTGTGGGTTGAGATAAAGACAATTTAATAGGTAAAGCAAAAACCACATGAAAGCAAAGCAAAACATAGAATTCGTTCACCACTTCCCATGGGCTGGCAGGTGTTCAGCCATCCCCAGGATAGCAGGACTCCATCATGCATGACAGTTATGTGGAAAGACAAATGTCATCATTTCAAATGTCCCCACATTCCTTCTTCCCCCACCTTTATATACAGACAATGATGACGCATGGTATGGAATATCCTTTGGGTCAGCTGGAGTCAGCAGTCCTGACTGTATCCCCTCCCAACTCCATATGCACCCCCAACCTCCTCACTAGTGGGCTGGGATGTGAGAAGCAGAAAAGTCCTTGACTCTGTGTAAGTGTTGTTCAGCAATAGCAAAAACATCCCTGTGTTATCAAGATTGTTTCCAGCACAAATACAAAATATAGCCCCATACAAGCTGCTATGAAGAAATGTAGTGCTATCCCAACCAAAATCAGTACATCTCCCAATATTTTCTGAATTGTAAACTATACTTGATATCGAAATAGCTCTTATTTTGTTGGGGTTTTTTCCCTCTGAACAGTGTACAGATGTCAGTGTTACAGTATGTTTTGTGTATTGCCAAAATATTGTTATATCTGAAACATATAATAAAAATGTTCATTATTTTCTCATTTTTATTTCCTTATATTGCTTCTCTGTTGTGAGCTGTAGTAGATTGGTGCTGCCCAGGAACAAAGGACCCACACATCTGCTTGCTCACTCACCCTGCAGCAGGATGGGGAAGAGAATGAGAAGAGTAGGAAAACTGATGTGTAAAATAAAAGATGAGTTATTAAATGAAGGAAAAAGAAGGAATGAAAAAAATTCAAACCAATAAACAATGCACAGGCAACCACTCACTATCTCCTACAGGCAAATCGATACACAGCTAGTTTCCTCCAATCCACAGTTACTTCTGAAAGATCAAACTCACGGTTTTTATTGCAGAGCACGATGTCATATGGTGCAGGCTATCTGCTCAGTCAGTTTGGTTCAACTGTTCAGGCTATGCCCCCTCCCAAGATTTTGCCCACCACCAGTGAGGACTAGGGACACCACAGAACAGCAAAAGCCTTAAATGCTCTTCAAGCATCTTGCAGCAGTAGCCAAAACACTGATATGTTACCAACACTATTCTGGTAACAAATCTAAACCACAGCACCACACGGGCTGCTAAGAGGAAAGCGGACTGACTTCTCAGCCATACTGAGCACAGGAGTAGTAGATCCTGAAAAGCATTTGATACTTAAAATTCTACTGGTTACATATCCCATAGCAGTGGTCACAACAGTCTCTATTTTGTCCTTCTTATTATGGGACACTTATGATTCTTTTCTTAAGAATGCTATGAAATAGCATGAAATCCTGCAGATAAAGCTATCTTTATATTGTCCTTAGCAGTAACACTCTAAGATATCTCAAGTCACATGTCCAGTGATCGTACTGAAGACCTTCTTTGCCTAAGTTTTTCATCAGTCATGTTTACACTTAAACACAGGTCTCAACTTAAAGCTTCACAGTATATGTCACAGAGGCAAAACAAAGTGGCTGGAGCAAGGATTTAAAATGCATAAAAAAAAGAACATAAGGAGAATTAATTTTCCAGTTCAGTTGCTGAAGGCAAGATTAGAGAGCATGGAAGTAGGAAAACAAACAAACAACAACAAAGAAACACCCCCCCACCCCCGAAACCAAAACCACAAACCCCAGCATTTTATTTTAACATAACTTTTTTTGGTTTTCTTTTTTATTCTTATAGAAACAATGATCCTAGAAGGAATCATATAGAATGACTGAAATATCTTTCTTTCAATAATTTAGGGGAAAATAAGGTAATGAAAATTAAAAATACATCATATTCCTTCATCTGGGATATTGCCCTGCTGCCTAGTTGCCCAGCACTTAAAACATCTCACCACAATGTCTCAGACCCCTGGTTGAAATGTACTAATGTCAGTCACCATTTTTTATATAATTTAAAATACTATTTAGTGATCTTGGGAGAATGAGTCTAAACCAGTGATCCTAACACATATCAGAAAAACTTGAATTCTGAGTTTGACCTAAAACAAAAGATATTTTTTCCATTTTTTCAAGGGTTTTGTATTTAACAAGAAAAATATATTTTTTTTTTCCCAGTAGTCATACCTTTAGAGAGAGTTTTGGTACTTACCTTTTTTTTAAGCTGGAGGGAGATCAGGCATGTAACCTTTGTAGTTAGACTTTCCTTCAGAGACTTTTAGAATTTCCAGATTAATCATTTTAATGCAAAACAGAACCATTCACAGTTACCTCTTACACATTGTTTAAAGCACTCTTTAAGGAAAAAAGATAAAATCAGCTAGAGTCAACTAGAGAAGAGAACTGTATAAATTTCAATCTCCAGAATAAGTATGTTCAGTTTTTGAATCTAGATTTAAAAATGAGCAGTGAAATTTAATGCAATGATGATAAATTCTTTTAATAAAAAAAATAGTTTGTTTAAAAAACTAAGGAAATCACTTAACTTTTCAGAATAGACAAAACTTCTGAAGAATGAACATTTATCACTTATTTTTCTGAATTACCTTCATGCATTTATAGAATTGTTATTTTTCCTCAGTGAATTTTATATATATATGTATATATATATATATATATGTTGTAATATCCATATAGAAAACTATTAAGGATTACAAAGGGCAAGATTGGAGCATTTCCTTGTTTTCAGACAAATGTATTTTGGAGAGGTTTTGTTGGTTTGGGTTTTTTTTTTGTTTTAATTATTGCATTTGTAATGGATTTTGTTTTGTACTGAAAATGAATAACAATTATTCCAGTGTTACTTTGATTAGTTTTTTTATGCTCCTTAGTAGAGATACTTTATTAAGCATTTTAATAGTTTTCTGCAGTTCCTTTCCTTCACCTGGAGTCTTCCAAGACCTTTTGTGTTTTATTTTCAATTTTTGTCTCTTTCTGCTGTACTATTCAAATTATTCCAGTTATAAAAAAACACTGGTCATATCTTATGGGCTGACACTTTGCTGAGCTTAAGGTGCCTAGTGCATAAAGTTAAATTATTTTTCAAAAAACTACAAATCTAACCTTAAGTTAGTGATTACATAACATATGTATGATATGATGTATGATAAACATATCAACATTTTTAATTTCTTTTATATCTTAAATTTTATGAACCCAATCATGGGTAAAAACCCACTAAAATTAAAACAATAACTGGTTTTCTTACTTGCAAAAATCAGTCTTTTGCTATTTTCAGCAGTTTGTTTTGAATTGCAAAACAGAGCAATGAAGATCATGTAGGACAGCATAACTGTAAATATATCTAGGATGAAAACAGAGGATTTTGGTGAGAAAATATGAAACCTGATTTCATTTTTGCCCTTTTTTTCTTCCGTTGGCAAACATACTACTGACAATTCAAGAAAAATAAGAAGAAAGAAAAGACAGACAATTTATTTCTCTTTCAGATTCCCTAAATTCTTTTTCCACTACCTTGGGATACTTATGGGTGTTTTGGATTCACATCTTCTTTCTTATGACTTCCTTCCTGCTTCTGGTGACGTGATAAAACTGGTGATTTAGTCTTTTCTGCATCAGTACTTCTGTCTTTGTTAACTAAGGCAGGTTTTTCTTATCTTGTCACATGGAAATCCTTGTACCCTATTTCACAAGCTAAAGCATCAGTAATAAAAAATAAACCAATTGCAAATGATATGCCTCTAGTTTTATCAGGCTTTCATGATTTTACTATAAAGTAAAAGAGTAAAGTACTATTATCAAGAAAATATCAGAAGTATCTTTATCAATAACCTCAAAATGATAATTTCTTACAGATGCAGCACTCCTAGCTACAACAAGCAGAGAAAGAGTTGCTGTCAGAAATGCAGAGAACAGTTCCTCTGTAAGTGCAAATGTACAGACATACATCACCATTTCATTAGTTTCTTAAGAAGGCAAAAGACTTAGGCAATGCTGCCTTTCAATGCTACTTGAAAAGCGGGGGCAGGAAAGAATCTTTTTTTTGTTTCTTCATGCCCAAGGATTCTATTCTCTTCTTAGTAAGCCAAGAACTTTGTGTTCAAGTCAAATAGCAAACTCTCAGAACTCTGCTGTGATTCTTCACAAATGCAAGACCCATAAAGAAGACAAATGAACTTTTCACAGCATTGTTCAGAATGACTGCTGCCTTGGGGTTTACTCACCATATAGTGCCATGGGCTGGTCAAGATGAAACAATGAAAAGATGAGAAAAAAATTAAAACTGGAGATGAAATACCCGACTGATTTAGTCTCCGTTTACTTTCAGAAGAAATTACTGTTGAAAAGAATTCATTCCATCCTTGCAGATATGCCTGCACATCTTCAGACAAGTGATTGCTACATCAGTGAGTGGTTCCTCTCTTGTTCTACTCTTACAGTGAAGTCGGGGATTTGTTATAGAAATCATAGCATTTAGATATACCATCATAATATATGATGATTATACAAAGTACATAAAGAAGTAACGCTTCCTATGAACAAAATGACAAACTACATCTGTACTACACAGACTCACTCTTCTCTGATGTTGTAGAACATAATTATGAAAATATGTTTGACCAAACTCTGTAATATCTTCTGCTACATTTCCTTTTCCAAATAACATATATTCCTGTGGTTTATAAACAGAATTTTGGGAACAAGTAAAAACTAAATTAAAGAGATTGCAGAAAATAAAAGATTTAGAGGTGAGAATTTCAGGATGGTTTGAAATACAGATGAATAAAAGACAAAAGTTTAAGTATCCTAATTTTTGTCTGAACTATGATTTAAAAGATAAAGATAAAACAAATCTGATTGGAGTCAATGAAACCTTTATTTATTTTTTCAATCATTTATCTACTTATTTTTTTCTTGAATAATCAGAAAAAGAATTGGTAAAAGGAGCAAAACATGTAACTGAACAGCACTAGAATACATTTTTCTTGTAGAATAGTGCCCATTGTCATATTGGGCACTTAGAGCTATTCAGAGAAGAAAATTATCTGGATCACAAGTGTCTTCATTGAAATTTGCCTACCATTTGATGGAAAGTTGCTGCTCAAGTAGTTTGGCTGGCTGAATCAGATGTGATAAAATCAATTCTTCTCTAAAGAAGAGAAACATTTGAATTTTGACAAGACGCTAGAATTAACAGAACTTTTAAAAATATTTGTCTTTATTCAGAGAGGCTTCTTAATTCAGTCACCACTATGAACTCCAAATATAAGTATAAAAGTTTAAAAAATATTTAGTAAAATATATAAGAACTTGTAAGTGAATTGTAAAAAAAAATAGAGGATCATATAATCATAGAAAGGCTGAATTGCTTTTTTCATCTTTGGTCTTAATGAGAAAAATAAAAGCAAGTGATTACAAGAAAGACTATCTACTTTAGGACACATAAAGTAATCCTTTTTTGTTTGGTTGGTTGTTGTTTTAGGGGGGGGGGCTGTAGGTTTTTTTTGGTTTGGTTTGCTTTGCTTTGCTTTCTTTGTTGTTTTTTTCTTCACCCTAATTTTACTTTTCTTCATATGATTTCCTAAATTAGTAACAGTTTCATTTCCATTGTGGCAAGAAGTTACTACCTGTAATTCCTGAATGGCAGTGTTTCTATCACTCCCTACAGTGAAGGAGTGGAGTTGTTTATATCAGTTAAATGTAGTTAGTAATCCCCTGATTAGCATAAATACACACAACTAGAAATTACAGCCTTCTTTCACTGTATTGAAGGCTCTGCACTGCTGTCAACTCAAATAAACTGCTAAATCCTGCCTCTAACCATTTTTGTCTTCCATCTATCCAAGTGAACTGCAGTCCACACTTTGACAAGTGTGGCACAAAAGGCGCTGTGGTGCTTGCTTGCAAGAAGACGAGCAAATAGATTGCTCTTTACAGTGTGTGTTCAGATAGTCAATGCTGACCTGTAGCTATGCTAACAAGATAAGGTGACAAATTTTTAAAAGCTATTAAAAGTAGTAGCAAATGAATATTGTTAAAAGATGTTAAAAGTAGTAGTGAGAGAAGATAATAGAAAGAAAGAGCAGTCAGTAGATTTGATGACTAAGATAGAAATTACCATATTATCATATTATAAATGACAAAGAAGTTTACAAAGTCAGAAAAAAAAAACCAGATTCGATGCAGAAAGAATAAATACAGGAGGGTTTTTCTTTTTTTGGAGGGGATGAAAATGGCAAAGGAAAAGGACCTGGGATAAGGAAAAATATGTAAAAGGCAACACAGGTGGAAGAAAACTGTAATCGGTGTTGTGCAGATTCTTGCTGAGCATCCCTGTGCCTGATCACTGCGTAAGAACAAACCTGCCGCTCTCACCATATGGGGACCTGATCTAGGGGAGATTTGGAGTTCTTTCTCTAATGCCCAGAGAGAATGTCCACATAGTCATATATGTCTCTCTGTGAAAGAAATTTCACAGGAAAGGGTTAAAAGGGTAGATGGATGTTTCTCACTTGTCCTAACAGGATTGTATTGCTCAAGGTACCCTTAGTCCTTACCTGGGTGAGATTCCTTTTTTATTTTTCCCAAATGTTTCTCATTGCTGTCTCTTACATTGCAACACTGGAAATCATGAAGAATAATCATTATTACAGGTTCGTTATGCACAGTGCCTTGTCAAACTTGCCAAAGATGTTTCAAAGCCTTGCAGAACTGTTTCCCATTGTCAGGGAAATAAATTTCACGGATGTGGTGTATTTTAACAGTTAATTAAGTTTTACTTTTACTCTGTGCTTCTATTTCATTAACAGAGGTGGTGAAAAGAAGTATAATGAAAAACTTCTCTTTCCTAAATCCAGACAATACCTAGTTCTCAAAAGTGCATGTGTACCAGTAGCTGAATCCAGTTAGTAAGAATAAGACAGAATAAAATAATATTATTTTTAATAAAAAATCCTCTAAAATATATTTCATTTGTTAAGATTATGTCTAAAAGCAACCTGTGGTTATTCCTCCACAGCAACTTAAGCAAAAGATATCTGAGTTCTAGGGCATGTTGTCTGTCAGCCCTCAAATGAATTTTCCAGCTTTTCCCACTACCTATACATAGCCTGGCCTCTGTGAGTGTCTGTGTGGTCACGCATTGAGGCAGATGGTGTGACTATTCTGGATCAGGTAATTCTCTCAGGTCTGGAGAAGCTGATCAACCCTACCTGAACCACATGTGGGGTTCTGCACTGTCAAGTTTTAGGATGGGATATCTCCTGTAAACGTAACCTAAACTACAGTAGAAACTCTTTGACTTTATTTTGGTATTTTAAACACTCGATTCTGCAGTCAAATTGGGCTTGAGAGTGAAATAACCATGTGTAATCTTATCATTGGGCAGATGCTTGATGATCACAAATACTCATGTAAATTCACTTGAAACCTAACGTTCATATTCCATTTTTAAAAATGTGAAACTACTGCTTTGAACTTACATTTAGTGACTATCATATGCATGAGGAAAATTAATACATTTTTTTAAATAGACAAAATAGGAAAAGTAGAAGCCTTTGCGTTCCTTGCTCCTTTTTTCCCAAACAATCTTATTTTAAAATCACAGCTTTTAATTTATTATTAATGGATATTCAGAGAACTTATTTCAATCTATTTCTTCTTGACCAAAATCCAGAAAATAAAAAATAATCTCTAACACGTCTTTCATTTAAGAGATGAGAAAATATTAAAAATGCTCAGTAAATAATATAATAAAAATAATAATCTTAATAATAATAATAATAGTAATATCTTACCTGAAATAAATAATGAATTTGTAAAAAAGGCATATATCACACCTTTATAAGTCTGTGCATGGGTACACTCATGAAAGGATTGATTTGAATAAGTCTAACTATTAGTTAATGGGGTCAGGTAAAGGAGCAGGAAATTTGAAATGGTAGGTTAAATCAGAAAACTAAATATTTGTTCTTTCATCTTTGTCTTCTCTTTTGTTTTACAATTAACCATTTCTGTTATACTTCATGATAATATTAATATGTCTGGTATTCACTTGCAGTCTTGTAAATTTACTATTTTGGAGTTCAGAATTAGGTACCTTGAAGTGATGTGAATATAAACGCTTGACCTTCCTGCTGCATTTCATTTAATCCGTTCAATCTTCCTTTTTCAGTGGTGTTTGAATCTCTTTAATTTTGATTTCCCTCTCACAGTCAGCTTGCCATGTTGAAGGAAGTTTGACTGGGGTATGAAGATCTTCAGAAAGAATTCACATGGATCCTGTTGTTAGGAAACCACTTTCTTTTGTTTACAGTACATTTATTTGGAACTGTCACACCAGCATCAGCACAGCTGCAGATGACATAGTGATGTCAAGAAAGATGGCAAAAACAATAGGCTTAAAAAGTAAAAGCTGATAATATTAGAATTCTCCCTTAGCCTAGCTATGTTACAAATACCTGAGAACTCTGCAAATAAAAAACCCTGAAAACTATTGTCTACTGCTACTAAGAAGGTCCTTTTTCTTATAAAGTTTAGAATATCCACCTTAAATTACTATAACAACATTTATGGGTTTAAAAAGCACAATATTTAGAACTCTTTATAATTGTTGATTTATAGACCTTATTAAATTAAATATTTTTATTAATTTGAAATAGAGACAATACTTGAATTCTCTGTTGGATTTTCAGTGTGTTTCATCCTATTGACAAGTTTACTAATCAATGATTTAGGTTTATCTGCACTGTAAAAAAAAATAGTAACTGTAAATGGTAGCCCCTGCTCTAAAGAGCTCATGGCAACTAGACAGGCTAGGTGGTTTGGTTAGACAAATGGCTGTGGTGGCACACAAGGTGATTGCAAAATGGACTGACTAGGCAATAGCCTCATTTTAGCCATTTTCCATGTTTATTTAAATGGCCATGAACATTGCAGTCCCTTTTTAAAATATTTAAACTATTGCAGATAGCTCCTGTGTTTAGTGACTTTCCATCTCTCAGTCTTTTAAAATATTATAGTAATCCAAAATCTATCTAAAAAGTCATATCACCCATTGTTATAGGTTATAAATCTGAGAGAGGAATTTTTTCTTTCCCTGCTTCCCTGTAAGAGAAACAGAGTTTCGAATAGGGAAGGGGGAAGGGAGGTAATTAACCTTACAAAGGAATTAGCTCGCCAGACTGCATTCCTCGCTGATGGCCCATCAGGGAGGCTGGGGAGAGAGGAGGGTCTGGTTCTGTTCTGAGGGGAGAGTGGCAGACGGCGGAGCTCGCTCTCACCGGGACGGACACAGGGACTGTATCCAGGCATTTCTGGAGGAAAAGCCTGGGAGCCAGTTGTTTTTTTTCTGGTTCTTTCGTCCTGGTGAGGCCTGACCACCGGCCCTGCACCGTCACTGCCTCGTGACTCCCGCCGGGACCTACTGGTTGTTTTTTATTTCTTTCAATCAGAGAGGTCTGTGCTTGCTGGGAGAAGAGGGGAGAGCCTTGGAACACCGTCATCTGGGAACAGTGAGTCCTGTTGGGGGGTGAACTGCTTTTCCTTACCCCTTCCTTCCATTGAGAGAAGGGTCCCCCATCTTCTTTTCGGCTCCTCCCGTGACCCGAGACCACCCCCCCGACCCCTCTCCCCGTGTGGTGACCGACAGTGATCCAACAGCGCCCCCTGCAGGCCACGATTAGGACTGCGCTGAAGGACAGAGAAGTATTCAGTCAGACCCATTTTTTCTAGGACTACTGTCTAGTTTTTTTGTGTTCTGTTACTGTTTTTACCAACATACATATGTCTTTTAATAAAGGGTTGTTGTTTCTTCTGTTTTTTTCCACACTTCCTTGATTAAAGCCCCTTAATTTTGAATTTACAATTGCTGAGAGAGAGGAGTTTGGTCTATCTCATAACTCATCCTCTTTAGCAAACATTCCAGTCTCCTCAGACTGAGACACCCATACTTATTACTGTAATTATTACTACTACCAATAATTTATTATCTGTTATGGTGGAAATGAATTGGAGTTTGGAGTAGCCTGCTTGTATGTGGCAACATCATGTTCTAACCAGATGCGAGTTTATGCCCAGGTAAAGAATCACACATTTCTGCTCACCTAGTTTAAAAAAGTAGAAAATGCTAATAGTCCCATCTATTTTGTTTAATCTTTTTTCTTTAATATACTTCCAGTTAGTAGTAATTAATGTCAGCAAATATAAAGCTTTTATTAAATTCTGTTGTTTCTTTATGTAAAATATGCTGTTTAGTAACACACACACAACCACACACAGAAATTTCCCTTACTTAGAAATATAGATGAAACTACCCAGCAAACTCGCATTAGTACATTTGTTTTTATTACAAGGTCACTTTTGTACCCACAAATTAGGAAACTTAATTTGTTGCCTGCAGTGATATTCTTTTTACTTTTTGTTTTGCTTTGTCTTTCTTTTCAATGAAGATTTGTTAGCTAAGTCAGATTTACAATCACTGGGAAATGTATCTGAAAGGAAACATAGAGATGTTTCGTTATTATTGTCTATCAGTTTCTCATGATTGTTGCAACCTTTCTCATTTATTTCTTCTTGGTGTTTTCTCAGCTCAGACATCTCTGTGCACAACAGTGAAGTGAATTTCAGAGCATTATCCTGAGACTGATGTGTCACACTGACCAGCCAAAATTTTACATACTTTTTTATGCTTTTCCTTTCTTTTCTAAATACTCCTTTATACAGAAGTTAACAGTGAAGACAAAATCATCAAAAAGAAAAATAATGTAAAAGACAGCTAACGGAAGCTATCAGAATTACCTTGGCTTCCCCTCAGCTGAGGAAAATATTTTTAAAATCTTATTCCATTTTTCAGTACTTTACAGAGTCTGTGAAGCATTTTTCCCATTTCTATTTTTCTAAGAATTCTTGAAGAATACTTGAATTCGTTCTAAATCGAGAGTTTGAAAACACATAAAATTAGTTATAGGTAGGAAAAAAAAACATTTTTACTGAGATCAAATTTGAGACAAGTCTATTCTCAGTGTAAAAGAATATAGCTAGCAAATTGGAAATGTCCAATAGTTTCAAAGTATTTAATCATAATTTAAATTTGAACACAAACTTTCATATGAAACAGATTTAAAATACTAAAAAAATTTTAAAATAAACGACTTAGAGTAAATGTTTTAGCCTTTTTGACCTGGAAAACTGATAAACAGACAAAAGCTTCAATGGTTTTTTCCAGAAAAGTGAGATACTGAGGAAGATAAAAGCATGATGCTTCCTTGTAGAGAATAAGAAAAATAAAAAGTTCCCTATTAATGTACAGTACTAAATCCTGTGTAAGACCAAGAGCTATGATGAGGGAAAGGGGTATTTTGTGTGTTCCCAGGAGGTGACAGAAAGTGTTATGTAAGTTGTATGAATAAAAATGAATAAACAAAAAAGTTTTGAATAATTAGCTTACTATGTTGATGTGGAGGGAACGCTCAAGAGTAGGGGGGTTGTTATCACTCTAAAACTAACAATTTTGAACAAAATGCTGTGATTGGCTCTTTTCAACAATAGTCACTGTGGTGACTTATAAGAAATGATCTCTACCATGCTTGTCTGAACAGATACAATCAGCTTTCCTGAACAGCACCATCTCCCCATTTCTTGCCATCTGCATCTTGCCTTATGCTTTTTGCTACAAACACTTTTCAGGGATCTGTAATAGCCTTATGCAAAGTCTGCTGCTTCCCCTGCCTTCATTCAGAGGGATTTGTGGAGCAGGATTTCCAGAGGAACCATTTTTCCTCACTTTTTCTGGCTCTACAGACCTCCAAAGAAGGATGTAACTCTGAGGCAGCTTACCCAGACCCACTGACAGCTCTCTCCTTGGGGCCTTGGGAAGATAAGGATAAAGTGGAACACTTTTTTGTTTATATTTCAGAACACCGATCCTTCCTGAAGCAGAATAGGAAAGGATGCTGGCAAGATTTCTGACATTAAATTAGTGAATAACTACTGCCTCAAACAAGAGTAAAGCTGTGAACTAAAAAACCATCAGAGGGAACTCATCAGTGAAAAAGTGCACCCAATTTGTTGTTGGACCAGAAGGCTCCTCTTCAAAGGATGCTGGTTCTTGATTGTCTTTCAACAGAGACACAGTCTGTGGAATGCTCCCACAAAAGCAGTTTCAAATGAATAAGCAACAAACAGCCAAACAAGCACTGATTCATAAGTAAAAACAGACTTCAAGTGACTTCACATAACCAATCAGAACCAGTTCATACTTCTCCAATGAAAGAATATATGAGGCAGCACACTCCAAGAATACATAGATAATAAATGAAAAAGAAATTAAAAATAAAAATATTTTGTAGGAAATAAACAATGCAGAATGTGCTGGATTAGGCTGGGATAGAGATAATTTTCTTAATAGTTGTTAGTATGGGGTTGTTTTGGATCTGAGCTGGGAATGGTGTTGATGCCACAGGGATGTTTTCACTATTGCTGAACAGTGCTTTCACAGGGTCAATGATTTTTCTGCCCTTCACCCCACGCCACCAGCAAGGAGGCTGGGGGTGCACAAGCCATTGGGAGTGGACACAGCCAGGGCAGCTGACCCCAACTGACTGGAGGGGTATCCCATACCATATGATGTGATCAGCAATAAAAGTTGCAGGGAAAAAGATGAAAAGGGGTGGGATAAGGCCATTTGGAGTTATGGCCTTTTGTTTTCTGAAGTCTTTATCACACATGATTGAGCCCTGCTTTCTTGGGGATGGTTCAACACATTTCTGCCCATGGGAGGCGGTGAATTAATTCCTTGTCTTGCTTTGCTGGTTTGCATGGCTTTTGTTTTACCTGTTAAACTCTCTTTATCTGAACTCATAAGTTTTCTCACTTTTACTCTTCTGGTTCTCTCCCCATCCCTAGGCTTAGCTCCTGGCTGAGATTAAATGACAACACAGAAGCAGAGAAGGAAAACCTAACTTCAACAGAAATATGACCTAATTAACAAAAGAAGAATCTACAGAAATTTTTGAAGTCAAGATGAGAAAAGAAACTCAAGATATATATATTTAGAATATTTTTTAACATTAAATGATAAATCAAAAATAATTTCAATTTGATATACCAAATTTTCAACAAACTGTCTTTGCCTGTGAATCTGCCATATGTATCCAAGATCATGACAGAATCTAATTTGCTTTCACTATACTAAATATTCAGCTGTAATTACTATGTCCCCCCCTTGTTTTGTCTCTCTTTAGGCATTTTTTAGCTACTATGCAGGCACAGTTAACTTAGTTAACACTTGAATGAGAATATTATTAAAAGTGGATTCTAGATTATTTATTTAATTTATAACCAAAATGGAACAGTTACATGAACATTCACTTATTTATTTGGTATTCCACTTTCCATAAAATGCAGACATTCTTCTTGCATGTATCCATCTAATGAATCATCTATTGACTAAAACCTGAATAACATAAAATTTAATAGAAACTATAAAAATGCACTTCAAAGAGGTCTTGGTAAATGCAATGTTCCATTAATTGTCGTCTTTCTTTTTCTATAAGGGTGTACTAATTAAATCAATAGTACCATACATGCAATCTCACAGATCTTATAAAACTATGTATGACAAACTATGTATGACAAAACTATGTATGACAAAACTATGTATGACAAATATTTTTCCATGTTTGTTGTTTTCAATAATACCATAATCAAGAATGCTGTGCATCTGATTCCTAGTCTTCATTTATGGATGAGATGAGCTTTCAAAATGAAGTTTCCTTTCACAATTCTTTTTCAATATGATCCTCTGTTTGCAAATCTAAATTTGCAAATTAGAAAATTGGTTATATTAATGAAATAAAATATGCATGATTGATGCATCTAATAGTCTGTCTTTGTATTGTGCTGTTATAGTTACTTTTCATTCCCATCATTAATTAAAATATAGACAATAAACCAGTCAGTGAAGAAGCAACAAATCATAGTAACATCTTGAATGTTTATCTATAGTGACACTGAAAATGAATAGTGGAGTTTTGACAGATAAGAGTTAACTTCAGAAGACCCTAAGTTATTTTTCTCATGTTTTCAGACTGAATTTCGCAGAAAAACAGTTTAGGAAGTATGAAGAAAGTTAGTTTTAATGACATTTTAATATCAGACATTCTTATTTCCCACAATCATTGTTCATTTATATCTGACCCTGCAAGATGCTGAGTATATTTGGTGATAAACAAAGCCTTTTAA